AGTGCTATGTTGGTTTTCCATGGTGGAAGATGAGTTGTGTTTATTGTTTTTTTTTTTTGCAAATGCACAGTATATAAGTGATTGTATAAAATGAAAATGAATAAAAATATTTAATATTTTTAAAAAAAGTGTGTGGAAAAAAGAAAATGATTCTAAATTGAGCTAATCTACCAAAATTCTATGAAATTCTTACATTTTAAACAGCATTAGTGTTGAAAGGCTATTGTGCAACTCTCTACAGGGATTATAAATAAAAGGGACTATCCATAAATGGTTTGAAATATATATTTTACTAGATTGAAGAGGAATGAATCATCTTCATCTGTCCAGAATTATTTTCATTTTGATTCCCTTCAAAAGAAGCTGAAGGATCTCGAAGAAGAGAATGTTGTCCTTAGGTCAGAGGTAAGCTTCATTGCTTTTTAGCAATCATAAATTTGTCTTCCATTTTCTCTGTATAAATTAGCAGCTTGACTAAAAAACATAAATCATAATTCTTGTAGCCCGATTCTTTGATAATACGTGTCAACCACCCTTATGTACACATCGTTTTCTATTTCTATTTCCAGATGCAACAGTTATAGTGAGGAGAATCAAAGTGTTGTTGAATAACAGGCTACAGAGTGATGTGTATTATTTATAATAGAATGATGAGGTTTTTTTCCAGGTTTAGAATGGTCCAAATATGTGCTGGGTAAAAGAGTACATATACTCACACCTGAAATTCTGGAGGAAAAAATACTGAAGAGAAAGAGATCTGGAAAGTATGAGTAGAAGGATACATCTGAAAAAAAATCTTCTCACTATCTAGATATTAAGAATAGATATTTATTGTCAGGGAAGACAAAGTATATATTTTGCCAAGAATCTTCTTGTTGTAAAAGCTAGAATAATCTTGACTTTCCTGGACTGCACTGAGTGAAAAGGAATTGCCTTGAGCTACATATAAAAAACCTAAAAATGTTTAAAGTTTATGATCTTGTGGGCCATATTACTAACTGCCTAAAGTCACATGCATCCTATAGGGCACACCTGCTCTAAAATATTTATCTAAGCTGTAATCTTAGAAGAACCTTTTAATAAAAGTTAATTTGATTATTTGTTCAAATATAAAAGAGATAATAACTGTGTTGTTCTATATTATCTACATTCTACCAAATTACATTACTGTTTATTTATGTAACACCTGATATAAATATAAACATAGATACAGATACAAATATATCAATGTGGATTAGGTGTAGATAAGTAAGAATCAATTATGGATGGATGGATGGACGGATGTACAGATGGACAGACAAGACAGATAGTTGTGTATAAAGTGCTGAACTAAGAGCAATGAAATCTGTGTCTCTAGTCTCCCCTTAGACATAGAAGCTGGCTTGGAGGCTTTGGATCAGTAACTCTTTCTAAACTGTAGTCTGGGAAATTTGAAAAAAACTGTCTATTAGCCTATACTGCATTGATATGGTATATTACAACTGATAGCATTTATTGGAGAGGCTTTCATTCTTCAGTGAATTGATTCAGACTGATTGCACACATGCACATGCGTGAGAGCACATGTGCACAAACACACACAATAATTTTCAAGTTAGGAAAAGATTTTATGGTGGCAGTTAAAGGAAGAGATCCCTTAAAACTTTCCATATTGTCATTTAATTGTAGATACTAAATGATAGAAAATAGCTACAATACTTAGAACATACAGTTACTCTGCTTTGAGATTTACCGGTACCTTTTTTCACAGTGCAAATAATCCTTGACACAATTGGGACCAAAATCTTTTTTTTTTTTTTTGCATTTTTTTTATTTTTAAACATAAAAAACAACATAAAAAAATTCTCATCCATACATACTGTAGAAAGTGTATCAGTTGGTTACAAAAGGTTTTCATGCACCTCTTCCACAGTCATCAAGCATCATATTAACTCAAGTATTTTAACTCAAATATTTATACATGTTACTCTTATACCTTATGTTTGACTATAATTATTT